CCCCAAAACCCCAAAACCCCAGAACACATAAATCATTAAAATTTTGATTAATGATTTTCTTTGCAAATTAATAATCATGCTGTAGATAATTTTTATGTGCACGCATGATTTTGAGCAGCATTAATAATTATTTCAATAAGAGTATTTTAATCACTTAAAGATTTCAATTTGCTAAACTGAAATTCAGCCAATAAAACAAGAAGAATCATTATGCTAATTTGGGAAAGGCAGCTTATTGCTCAGTCGGATTCCTAATTATGTACACAGCTTTGAATCCCACACAGAATGTGTACACTTAGATCATGTCTAGTAGCAATTATGATAAACTAGGTTTTTCTTGTTTTGCTTTGGATTCTCTATTCTATGGCTTTGGGTGTTTGGCAGCATCATATATCGTGAATAGAATCGGCGTGAAACTTTGCCTATCAATCTCAGCGATTGCAGACACTCTCTGGATACTAGCTATTATACCACCTACATTATCTTCCCATAATAAAACTAAGGATGATATGTTTATCACTAGTGATGGGTTTATATATACGACGTAAATATCAATTCAAATATTTCAAGGGTTCTGTCTGGGTCTTAAATGGGTTGCAGAGAGTAAATACATCTCAGAATGTGCTACAGAGGAAACTAAAGGCTTTTACTTCAGCTTGTTCTGGGGTATATATATGGTATCAATGGTACTTGGCAGTTTGATTGCAGCGTTCATTTCAGTCAATTTCACATAGACTACATTCCTATTAATAATGGCTGCGATTGCGGCTCTATCTATTGTAATTTTTGCTACTCTTCTCAAGCCCATCCCTTAAGAAAGATACTTGCCGCCAGAGGATGATTATGAGATTAAAGAAGTAGAGACACCAGAAATTTCAAAGGGTGATAGTTTTAAAGCTCAAGCTACTAATAAAGATTTTTAAGCGATTTCTCAAAAAGATTTATCAAATGGATACGCTCACATTAACAATTCAATCTCTGTTTAAAATTAAACTCTAAGGGTAACTCCAATATCGTTGAAAGAAGAGGTAAAAGAGGTTCTGCTTCTCATAAAGTCTAAAAAGATGCTACCTTTAATACCATAGCTTATTTGGGTAGGTATCAGTGTAGCTATATATTCTGGGATATTAGTAATTATCATTATCGACACAGAATCTGTTGGAGATGACTAGTATAAAGTCTCCTAGTCAATGCTTACAATGGTATCTTTTGGAGCAGGTGAGATTCTTGGTAGTCTTTTTTCGGGATGGTTGATAGATAAATATGGGAATAAAAAGACTGCTTTGTTTAATATATTTTTGGTATTAATTCAAACTGGTTTAACGCTAGTTTATCTGATAAACTATAAGTATTCATGGTTTTCTTATGTCTTGACTTTTGTCTGGGGTTTATAAGACAGCTCAACTAACACTTTATCAAATGAAATGCTTGGCTTTGAATTTAATAATAATTCTCAATCATTTTCTGTATCAAATTTTTTCTAAGCTATGGGTGGATTTATTTTTAACCTAATCGAGGGATTTATCAAAGGAAAGTAATAGTATTTGATTTATACAACAACAATTGGATTTCTAGGAATATTATGCAATATTTCAACACTATTTTTCAAATTTAAACCAATGCCCTAATAACTGAAATAATCCATGAAATAAAAGAATTTGATTGAAGAAGATTAATGAAATTTGTATTTATTTTATTCAAGAAAATTTGATTATATTTAATTTGCATCTTTAGGGGTTTTGGGGTTTTGGGGTTTTGGGG